CTCTAGAGTTCCCCTTACATCAGAGTCCTTAGAGTTCTCCTTTATATCAGAATCTGCAGGGTTCCCCCTTACAGTGCAGATCCTGATGTAAAGGGGAACTCTAATGTATGGGGGATGCTGCAAACCCTGATGTAAAGGGGAACGCAGTTGACTGTGATGAAAGGGAGAGGGGGCTTTGGTAACCAGAGACCACCTTACATCAGAGTTCCCCTTTACATCAGAATCTGCAGGGTTCTCACTTACAGTGCAAAGGGGGACCACTGCAGACCCTGATGTAAAGGGGAACTCTTATGTAATGTGGTCTCTGGACAAAGTCCCCCCTTATATCACAGTCAGCAGTATTTCCCTTTACAACAGGATCCACAGTGTTCCCTCTTACATCAGAGTTCCCTTTTACATCAGGGTCCACAGACATCCTCCTGCACTGTGGGGCACTAGTGTGAAAGAGGCCTATTTCATCATGGGCAACAGCCAAGGCATTGGATTGGGGCAAGGCACACATACTTTGCTGTGTATCTATTTTACTGACTGTACCTTTTCTGAGAATTCTCTGCATACTTCATGGATCCCTCTCTTGGTGTACTCCTGTGTCTATCTGTCTCTCTCTCCCCCCCCCCCCCATACAGACCCCATTGGGAAATTTGGCCCTGACAGCATACAGAGACAGGCACTATGCCTGTCTCAGTACACTAACTTACATCTGGTCCTAATCACCTTCAATTTTGTTATGTATGAACTGGATGTAATTATATTTGTAGTTTGGTGTAGTAATAGAAACACTTTGTAAATGGGCAGCACAGTGGCTAAATGGTTGGCAATTCCACCTGGCAGTACTAGGGTCATTGGTTTGAATCCCAACCACAGCACCACCTGCCTGGAGTTTGCATGTTCTCCCTGTGCCTGCGTGGGTTTCCTCTGGGTATTCCGGTTTCCTCCCACACTCCAAAGACATGCTGGTAGGTTAATTTGATTCTGTCTAAATTGGCCCTAGTATGTGTATGTATGAATGTGAGTTAGGGACCTTAGATTGTATGCCCCTTGAGGATTAGGGACTGATGTGAATGTACAATATATATATGTGTGTGAAGCGCTGCATAAATTGACAGCGCTATATAAGTACCTGAAATAAATAAATAAATGATGTGAAATTATTAGGAACTCCGTGAAACTGCTGCACTTTTTGGTAAAGCTACTGAAACTGACAGCAGGACTTTTTGAATCTGGCACAAGATGTTTCAAAGGGCCACACCTCCAGAAAAGCCAGAAAAATGTCGCTAATGCGTTTTTTAATTTACCTAAAAGACTCTAAAGTCAGCTTTTAGTCAGTTTTTAGCAGCTTAGAAACATCTGTATGTTTCCACTACAGGACTGGCAGGCTGCCAAAATTTTGGTGCAATAGAAAGTAATAAGAAAAGAGCTAAATACTGTAGTTCACATAGTTTCAGCACAGGTTCTATTTCAGAACATTCAGTCATTGTCTGATCAAAATTTTGTTTTGCTACACGCCAGACATCAATCCATGCTTCCAGTACATTCACGTTCATTTTAAAATACATTTTTTTTACAACTTGAGTCTGCTGTCATGTGACCCGCCACATTGCCTCATCCAGAAGTGAACACCAGTGAACTACCAACCATTATGTTTGTTCTAGTCTTAAGTACATATGAAGACTATGCAAATAGACAGCCAATGGGACGTGTCTATTGATGTGGACACTCTAGAAGCAGAAAAACTTAAAGCGGAGCTTCACCCAGAAGGAGAAGTTCCGCTTTAAGCCTTTGTCCCCCACTCCCCATTAAGGATTGGCACCTTTGGGGAGCAAATTTGACAGGTACCCGCTCCCACTTCCGCTGCGATCGCTTAGGCGATCGGAAGCAGAAGTTGTCCTCCCCCCCCTCCCCATAATCTTCTGGGACACATGACAGGTCTCAGAAGACTACAGGTCCATTCACAAAGTGCAGCGCTTCTCGCGCATGTGCAGTGGGCACCTGGGTGTGAAGCCGCAAGCTGTCACAGCCGGTTGCCCACACTGAAGATGCCAGTGCCAGCGAGAGAAGATGGCCATGAAACCAGCGGTGGTGAAGACACCGCTGGACCCAAATACAGGTAAGTGGCTGTATTTTAAAAGTCAGCAGCTACAGTTTTTGTAGCTGCTGACTTTTATTTTATTTTTTTTTTAGGTGGAACTCTGCTTTAATGTGCTACATGCCCGCAGATTTAGGTGGGTCACATAAATACAGATTTAATTTCTTCAACAACTAACTAGAGAGTGGGGTATTGGAATTTAGCATTTAATTTCAGGCCTTGGAAAGAATGCACTGATGTAGAACATCTAATATGATCTTAGTTGGGCCCATGGGTGTCTCTGTATTTTTTGTTTCTATCTGTTTCCCTATTGGAGAAATTTTGTTTAATTTTCTGGCAGGACTTGAACTTGGTTCTTGATAGCGGCAAGGTAAAGTGTCCTGTAAAGTTCTCTGATGGCTTTGATGCAGGGGCGGACTGACCATTTGGAAACTTGGGCACTGCCCGAGGGCCCGGGGTCAGCAAGGGGCCCCATAAGATGCCCCTGGTATCTTTCATAGGCTTTTTTGGGTGTGGTTTGAGTGTGGGTGAGCACACAGGGGCCCCATGATCCCCTATTGCCCGGAGGCCCCATGAGTTGTCAGTCCACCCCTGCTTTGATGTAAAATGTATTTCCACAATAAATAAGAATGACCTGCCCTGAATGTCCCAAACTGCTTCATTCTTCTAAACTCTTCATTATCTCAGTGTGGAATCCAGTGGAAATGCTCTGACCTGTCACACATCTATCAATGTTTAAATGAAAATCCTGTGTGACAGTTGCCATAATATGGCAGAGCATTCAGTAGCTTAGTGAGGAATGCACATGTTGGTGTTTTTTTTTTTAATTTAAAGAGAGCTGTTGGAAGTCACTGGAGGTATTAAGCTGGCCAAACACCTCTTTCAGCCCCGTGACAATTTTCCACTTGGCTCCTTCGATAAAAGTCGAATGAAAAAATCAACGTTTGTTCAGTTGGGTGCTGTTGACAGGACCCCCCCCAACTCAAATTTTGGTTGATTCAGCAGCAAATGGATGAATTTCGAACTGTGTATGGCCAGATTTAGAGTTATTACACATCATCTGCCTGACTTCACACACTACATGCTCAGAAACTAAAAACTCATGTAGGCTTAAGCAGTTAACAGGCCAATCAGCGATTGCTCCGACCCCCCACGTTTCTATTTGACAGGTTTCTTAAAAAAAAAAGAAAAAGAAAAAAAAATAACTCACTTAAAAGTCAGTTGTGTACCCTTGCCTAAAGGAAGTACCATTTTTGTTTTATTGTACTGCAGTGTTTCAGGTACACATGTTAATAGTTAATAGTTTTGACTTTTTAAATCATAAATTTCCCAAATAGGAACTGATTTAGGCATAAGTACATGTCAGGTGAGAATGTTAAAGTTCTTTCTATGAGTTGTGTAGCAGCATTATAATTCCTGCCTGGAATGAGTAATGAAGGGAGGTAATTACTTTTTTTTATTTCTTGACAAGCTTCCACTTCTATATCTAGCTGTTACTGTGATGTAATTTAAAGTGGACCTTTGTCCAGACTATGGACATTCAAATATTTACATATTCTTAACAAGCAGTAAATGAGCTGTGGGTACGGTGAAGCAGCTTTTTAATTTTTCTTTTAAATGCTAGGCAGCTTATGTCTATCATTGAATAAAAGGTGATGTTAGGCTTTATCAGCAATTGCTTTGCTAAAGACCTTTCAACAAGAACCACTCCAAAATACAAAAAAGCAGGCTGCTTAAAGTGAACTTGTTCCCAAACCTTTTTCAGGTTTAGTGTTTAAAACTTTAGTTAAAAGCACACTTAATCCTTTTAAAATACAAAAGAAGCAATGGGCCAATCTTCAAATTAATCTTCAAAGGGGCCACATTATGTCTCCTGAAGCCACTCCTACTCAATTCCAGAAAAAAAAAGATTAAATCACTTTAGTAATTACTATGATAGTAATAATTTCATTTTACAACACTGTGTCCCAGAGAAAAGGGCCATAAAACATTTTCTGAAATATTAAGCTGCGAAATGATGTAAGGAAATGTAGCCATTATCAATTGGAGAACAGCTGGGGCTTCATTTAGTTTAAATACTTAAACAAGCTTAGGGCCAAAAATAAAGAGTGAGAGGGCTGCACACAGCTCAGAAAACATTAGTTTGATATGTCTGCCCTAAAGCTAGATAGAAAAACTGTAGTGGCGTAGAGGGCAGCGGATGGAACCACAGCATGTAGCGTATCGGACACTTTTGGAAGTGTGCAGGATGCGGAAGATTTTTCAGCCAGCTTAGCTCTGAAACAGAGCAATAGGACGGGCAGGAGGATAGGTAAGTATTAACTGTTTTTCTTTAGAGCCTGGGCTTTTTTTAAAATGATAACTGCTTTACATGCCTGTTGTACCACTCCCTATCCTCATAGGAAATACCCTGGACACCAGACTTGAGATGAGTTGTAAACAAGTTCTCCACAGCCGCAGCCTCAGGCGCTGACTAAATAGACAGTGGGCACAGCCCATGAGGATCCAATATTCAGGGTAGTTCCTATTCAGCCTAGGTTCACACTGATGTGGTGCGGAATTTGCAGCATCACAATCACACCCCCGTTCATGCGAACCGCTGCGGGTGTGTATGTTAAAAACACCCCAAAATTGGTCCACAAAATGGGGTGTGATATGCAGAATCGGATCACATGGGTGTGAATACTCATGCAATCCAAATCTAGTGCGGACCAAAAAAAGGGTGCAGATGCGGTGCAATTGGAGCCATACAAAATGTATGGCTTCAATCGCACCGCACACAATTCGCATGTGATTTGCACAGAAATGTGGTTCGGTTCCTGTGCGAATCACATGCGATATACTGCACCGCATGTGTGTGAACTCAGCCTGAAGGGGTGGTAGGAGGGAGGAACTGAAACCTTTTTTTCTGAGCTTACACACCAGAGTAATCTGTTGACCATAGTATGTTTATTGTGTTGAAACAGATCTGTTCATTACCTGGTCTGAGTGATGCCAGCTCAGATTTTGTAATGTCTGGGGCAGGGGCAGACTGACCATTTGGAAACTCGGGCACTGCACGAGGGCCCGAGGTCAGTAGGGGGCCCCATGAGATGCCCCTGGTACCTTTTTCATAGGCTTTTTTGAGTTTAGGCAAGGACACAGGGGCCCCATGATCCACTATTGCCCGTGGGGCCCCATGAGTTGTCAGTCTGCCCCTCCTCTGGGGCTTCTTCAGTGAGCATCTAATGCATGCACTGGGCTAATGACAGATCTAGTTTTAGAAAATAAGGCCAGTTACTGTTTTATCTTGGTGCTGGGCCACACTTGTTTTTTTTTTTTTTTTTTTTGCAGGAGGGGGTAGTGATGTTTTATTTATTTAATAATTTTTTAATAACAGTGCGCTTTCCTTTAAAACGGTAATGTTTCTTAAAAAATAAAAATATATATTATTGTTTTACAAACCCCTTTGTATTTTAGTTTGGTAAAATTATCTTTTCATGTCATTTTGCAACCATCTTTAAAAAGGAAAAAAAAACCCTCCAAATATTGCTTTGTTTTATTCATGTCTCCTGAGGGTGTTCTGTGTGGTGTATATGTACAGAATGACCACAAAACTGTCCTGCTCATGTGTAATTGAATTTTCCAAGCACTTTTTCTAATATTACAGCACAGGGACTGGTCAACTTAGTAGATGAAGGTATGTAAGTATCTGGAGTGTGTAAAATGTAATTAAATCAGGTTGAGGGGGGCAAAATGATAAAAATGGGTTGTACAGAAATGATTGAATACAAGTCTGTACTATATCCAATTTCAAACAAAAGTACTTCTTTGAAATGATAGACTGAAGTGTTCAAACATTTTATAGCCAAACTATTTTCTGCTCAAGAAGTTGGAAGAGAGATGTAGATGAAAAATGTCATGTTGGCAAATCCCAGCAGTGATATCACTCTCACTGACTGTGTGTATATTTAAAATGTATGTATAGCCATTTTTTTAAATAGAACAGGAAATGGTTAAAACCCCTATCAAGTTGGGAGATATTACTTTGTTTTTTGGAAATTGAAAAGGAATTTCCTATCTTGGACTGTTGTAACCGTAACATTCTTTCTTATTGTCTCATCTTTTACTCTGGGGACAATATTTTTAGATTTTCCCTCACTTTCTGCCCTAGTAAAATGTAAAATGATCACCAGGGCAAACAGAGGGTTAAATCTGCCCAATAGGGAAAAAAATTAACAGTGGATCTAACCATGCTATCCAAATGTTTAAAATTTGCTTTATATACACTTACAGTGGTTGTAAAGGTAAAAGGTAATTTTCTGCATTAACCTCCCTAGCGGTCTGATTATGTCCATATTTCTGTGCTCAAAGCAGTACTTTTTTTGCATGGAAATATGTATTTTTTTATTGTAGGCCTGTAATTTTTAGGAATAACTCACTGAAATCTGTCCGAACAAGAGTCTAGTAAACATCCCGGGTATGTTAAAATTTGAAACACGAAATCATAAATTATAATTTAATAAATAATCATAAAAAATAATAATATAATAATAATAAATTTAATTAAATAATATAATCAAACCAAAAACAATGAAATTTGAAATATAGCGCCAAGTTCGCACATCACTGAGCAAAGTCGCAAAATCGTTTTCAGTGTCTGATGACAAATTTCCCCCACGAATCATTATCACTCAATTCTGCAAGTATTTCTAATTTACTATCGCTGTTCTCTAGCTGGTCTAAAATCGATTTTGACCTAAAGGGACGCTTTTTGGACGCCATGGACGTTTCTCTGGCAAAAAGAACAGTAAAAATGCAGGCAGGGCACAGGACAAAGCACTCGGGACAAAATGTATCCGAAATGGTTTGATACAGTAATGTTTTACAATGTGATTTTAGTGTATTTAGTGAATGTCACTTTTTGTCATTTTCAAATTTCCCGCCGTTCCGTCCCCCGTACGTCCACCTTGCAGGAAACAGAACCCAGAAGACAGATGCCGGCATCGCTGGAGGACATTACAGGGGACACTGCAGGGGGGACATCACGGGAGCGCAGGACAAGGTAAGAGAAGAACAGATCCCGGAGCAGCGCCACATGGTATTCCCGAGTGTAGCTCGGGTTACTACTTGTGGTACTGAAACTTTACCCCGAGCTACACTCGGGAATACCTCCAGGGAGGCTACGGTAAAAAGCTTTTACATGAAGCTCCCTGCACAGCCCCCATTTGTGTGTCTGTGCCAGCTCCTCTCCCCTCTTCCAGCTCTCACAGGCTTTTGAAAACCGTGTGAGCCATTGGCTCCTGCTGTTGTCAGTCAAAACAGTGAGCAGCAGAGAGCGGGGGGTGGGGCCGAGTGTCTGAATAGACACAAACAGCCTGGCTCGGGAGTTAGCACAAGTGCCCCCAAAGGAAGCAGCTGCCTTTGGTGGGCACTCAGTGGGGGAGGAGTCAGGAGCGAGCGCCGGTGAGAGACCCAAGTAGAGAAGGATTGGGGCTGCTCCATGCATATCCATTGCAAGAGCAGGTAAGAAAAAGAAGGGAAGCTTTAGTGTCACTTTGTTTCCAGTGAGTTATTGTGCCCACACACATTTTATTCTGCTTGTTCAAAAATCTAATCAATCCAGTATTTGAATTTGATAAGCATACACTTACAGTACATGTGACTGGGTTTCAATTTCTTTCAACATTTTTTTTTGGGTTGAATTGAAAAATATTCAGTTGGATGTCTTGGAAGTTTTAGTTTTACATGTGTAGGGATCTTCTGCCCTCTACTGTCAGCTGCTAGTATCACACAGTAATGTAAAATTATGCATGTCACTTCCTGACTCTGTGGTTGTTGGGAAAAAATCCTGGAAGGAGATAGTGGAGAGAGAAGGTCTCAGCCACATGTCCTCACCATGTTACTAATTACCTATAAGAAGAGATGATTATGCAAGTATTTCTATGTTTTAATAAGTTAACTGCAGCTGTTCATTGCTTTTTGATAGTATTGCTGAATTCTCATGATAAACAGGGTATCTCTGTCCTATTACTGTCTCATGTGCACAGTGCCAGATAACTAGGACTGCATTTCAGACTGGTTGGGTAACGGCTGGAGGATCTCCTCATCACAGCAGATTTTGTCTTCAGGTCTCTGAAGGCTGCATTATCCTCAGGGGCCCCTGCAATGGAGGTTTGCTGCAACATTCATCTTGAGGTATCTCTATAAATAACTATATATGCCCGAGTATCAGTGCACAATTCCACCAGGACTCCTATCGGACCCTTAGCTGATAATATCTGTTGATACATTGAATATATGTACTGTTGTTAATCTTTTCTTATATAACGCTTGTATTATCTGTATACTGGTGTGCATCTATATGCTCATGGTTACTGTTATATGCTGGTTGCAGTAATTCTTCTGCTTCCAATTACTTTGATTAGATTACTGGTTAATTTCCTAGAAAAGGAATCCCCTCTGTTCAAAGAGGCCCTGTCCTGGGTGGAGGCACTGCCAACTTTATTATCAATCCAGCTCTACCACTTCGTGAACATTCTGGTTCTCTTATTTGCCTACAAGTATAGTGCAATATCCTTCCCCAAAAGAAGGCTACATATAGCATACTAAATGTTTACATTTTAATGTGATTTGTTTTTAAGAATATTGAATTTTAAAGAATCAAAACCTAAAGTCATTTAATTCATCATTTCAAATGTAAATTGGATCACATATGTGGCTATACCAAGGGAAATTCTAATAAAAATGAAAACTTTAAAATTGATGTCTGTGGCCAGCATTTGGAGTCCTTTCCTCCTATGAGTAGGGACTGACCTTTTTTATGAGAATTTATTATTCATTCATAATTTTATAGTGTGGTCTTCAGCTTCCAAGTTTATTTCCTGGCTATTGACACAGGTTTTCTGCAGCTGTTCCTTTCTTTTGTTATTGATTTTCCTTTGTCTTTAATGATCGTCTTCATTATTATTTCTTTTGTAAAAGACATCTTAATTTACTTCGAACTGTAAACTCAAGCACCATACAGCTGTAGCCAATAAGAGACAGCTGGGAACATCATTTTTTGCCTACTCAGAGAACATATTACAAAGGAAGAAGGGACCGCATGGAAATATCTATTAGGATTCTGTTTGATATTGACATTTTTATTTATATTGATAGTGCATTGATTACTTCCTTGCAGAATATGTCTTATGACTAATCTTTGCACGGTCTGTGAAAGGCCTCATCTTTATACCCATATATACCCACTGAAGAATCAAGCCTCACGTGATACACAGAGATGAAACAAATCACCTTCTGTGCGCTGGAAGGGGGTACAGCCATGTTCAGAGATTCTGTGGCGTTGGGCTAACCCAGTGGTCGGCAAGCCGCGGCTCGCGAGCCACATGCGGCTCTTTACACACTTTAATGCGGCTCTTCTGTGTGCCGGGCGCCCGCTCCCCTCCCTCCTCTCGGGCGGCCGCCCCAAAAGTCAGGACTCTGCAGCTAGCCCAGCAATGGGCAAACTACGGCCCGGCGGACCTTTTAATCCGGCCCGCGGAGCGTGATCCAAAAAAAAAACAGCCAGGGCAGCGCGCTCAAATGCGATGATTGGCCAGTCTAGCTGCCACTCACATCCTGATAGTCAGTGATTGGCTGTCAGGATGTGTGTAGGCGGGGCAGCGTGACGAACGTGAGAGGAGCTAGGCTCCTCTCACAGTCCGCCCTGAAGACCGGAACGGCGCGGGAACACGGCGAGAAGAACGCGCGGAGCAAAGGTAAGTGAATTGACACAGGGGGGACTTGGCTTACTACTTGCTACTTACTTACTACTACTATATGAGGGATGAATTAATATGGGGGATGAATTACTATATGGGGGATGAATTACTATGGGGGATGAATTACTATATGGGGGATGAATTACTATATGGGGGATGAATTACTATATGGGGGATGAATTACTATAGGGGGGATGAATTACTATATGGGGGATGAATTTACTATATGGGGGATGAATTACTATAGGGGGGATGAATTACTATGGGGGATGAATTACTATATGGGGGATGAATTACTATATAGGGGATTAATTACTATATGGGGGATGAATTACTATATGGGGGATGAATTACTATATGGGGGATTAATTACTATATGGGGGATGAATTACTATATGGGGGATGAATTACTATGGG